TTATAATTAGGTAATTGAGTCTTTTTTTTTTTCCTCCTCTTACAACTCAGTCATTTTTGAAACTGTGGTAGCAGGTTTTTTTTTTAGGTCTTGAACTCACAGCGATCCTCCTGCCTCAGCCTCCAGAGTGCTGGGATCACAGACATGCGCCACCACGCCCGACTGTGCAGTAATTTTTTTAAAATATGGAGAACGCTTCTTTCCATTACAGAATATTTGTGAAATGTAAAAAAGACACATTATAGGGTCTCTAGAGGGTTTAGAGTGTGACTTAATTAATGAAACACAGCTTTGCAGAATTATTGCCGCCTCCTCCCGGTTTCATAAATGCTTGTCTACTGACTAAATCTCTCTGGCGTTTCTTTCCACCCTTGCTGAAACTCTTAGCTCAGCCATGCAGTACACCTCCAGGGATGTACACCTCCAGGGACACTAAGAGCCTGCTGACTGGGGGCTGGGAATTTCAAGTTGAATCTGAATTCTCCCTGTGAGACATGCCTCTCACCCGTACCTTCCGCCTTGGGAGGACCCGTGATGCCATTTCAAAAGGGGGAATAAAACGGTGTGCTCTGGCCTAGAGTTTGTCATGCATTAGTTTTCTCACTTGCCCCCCACGAGGGGAATTTAATTATTTTGAAGAACCAGAAGCTTCTCCCTGAGGGCTCAGGCATCCTTTGGCTCTGATTCGTGGTCCCCAAGGCTGGTGACTTAGGAAGTGTACATGAATTTATTTGAGTGATGCTCCTTTTTTTCCTTTTCCTCTCGTACTTTGCCAAGAGCTTGACATTAAGGATGTCCTGGATTCTGGCCAGAAGTCCTTGGGATCTTGACTGCAATAGGAGGGCAGAGGTCAGTTGATTTTGAAACCATTCGTAGTGCCTGAATTGAGAAATTATAGTTTTTCTCCCAGGACCTTTAATTTTTGCCCTTAAACTCTTGTATTTATTACCTTTTCAAAGGCATGAGATGGCTATAATTTTGAATCCTTTTGTAAATTTCCTTTGGCCCCATCAGACTTTTATCCAGGATGATTTCATTGATTATAATTAGGTAATTGAGTCTTTTTTTTTTTTCCTCCTCTTACAACTCAGTCATTTTTGAAACTGTGGTAGCAGGTTTTTTTTTTCTTTCTTTCTTTCTTTCTTTTTGTACTGGGGATCAAACTTGGGTCCTTGCGCTTATGAGGCAGGAGGCACCATCACTAAGCTAAATCCCCGGACAATTTTTGAAACTGTGATACTGTGTGACAGCCCTGACCTATTGTTGTCAATTTGAGTACTTTTCTAGCAGTGTGATTCATTGTAGCTAATCTTTAGATTAACTGATTGAGGTTAGAGATGTAGTATGTCTTTGCTAATCTTATCAGTTTTGGTAGATAATGTTATACCCCATAGAATGAAGTCCACAACTTCAGCTTTCTTAGTTCAGGTTGCAACCAGCCAATCAAACTTTGATCAATTTGAAGCCAGATTTTCTGGTGTACACCCATAATCCTGGCCCTCAGGAAGCTGAGGCAGGAGGATCTCAAGCTTGAGACTCTGATGAACCTGGAATGAACATTTTTTTTTTTTTTTTTTTACCTTGTACCAAGAGAAACGAGTGAGTGCTGTAATAAGCAGAGGTGGTGCTGGCTTGTAATCATGTTTAACAATAGGGATTTCGAGCCAGAGCTGCTGAGGAAAGGCACTTTCTCCTTGTTTCACACTAGAAGTCTGCTGTGCTTATCTGCAGTTCCACCATTTCTGAAAACCAAACATTTCTTCCTAAGTTTGACACAAAGTTTTTGGCAGTGAAGTTCAGTCTGACCTAATGAGACTGTGTGAAGTGAGTCTACCTGGTTCATGACTGAAGTTTTCCACCCCAGAATATTACTGTGTTTCATTGTGGGATGCTGAACTCTGCCCTGCTGTGGCGGTTATAGAGTGGGGTATGGGTGTCCTGTCAGTTTTCTAAAGCTAGAAAAATTCTCTATTGTGAAACTTGTCCTGCCTCCAAGGTTTTTTGTTTTTTGTTTTTTTTTTAATTTGCTTGTTGGCCTGTACAGTATTTTATGTCTGAAAATTTCTTCTACTCTTATAAATACTAAAAACTACAAAATATTTTTCAGTTCTTTTTTTTTTTTTCCTCTGCGGAACTGAGATTGAACCCAAGGCCTTACATATCTTAGGCAAGTGCTCTGTCCCTGAGCTACATCCCCAACCTTTCTTAGTTCACTAAATTGGCCAGGCTATCCTCCACCGTGAGGTCTGCCTGTCTCAGCTTCCTGAGTACCTGAGATTATAAGTGCTTGCCTCCACACCCAACTACATGTTATCTCTAAATATTTCCATACGTAAAGCTGGCAGGCTTTCCACTTCCGGACCTTCATCAGGTTTTTTTTTCTTAAATTGTGCTAGTTTGGACCCAGGTACCAGAGAGTCTATTTGCCATTATTTTCTCCCATTCTGTAGGTTGTCTTCTCCCTTTTTTGTTTGAAGCACACATTTTTAATTTTGATTTTTTAAATCTATTTTGATTGTGCAATTTGCCTATTTTCTTTTGTTGCTCATGTTTTTGTTGTCATAGCTGAGAAATCATCACCTTATACAAGATCAGAAAAAAATATCTCCTGTGTTTTCTGCTAACAGTTTTATAGTTTTAGGTGTTCATTCAAGTCTGTGATCCACTTGAGTTAATTTTTATTTATGGTGTGTCTGCTTTTACTTTTTTCATTTAGTAATCTAGCTTAGAGTCTGTTTCATACCAACACTAGTGAAATTCTTTACTCTCTCTTCTGTACCCCTTTACCTTATGTGGATGAGCTTCTTTTAAGACCCCCCAGGATGAAAATACACATAAATATTTGGGTTTGGAAATATGGTGAAATGTCAGTGTAGCTTGAAAAGAATTTCATGTTAATTTCATCAAAAGCCAGTTCTAAGCATTTGACGGACGTGGTGGTTCTAGGTAGTTCTTACAATTGAGAGGCTTTTCAAAATCTAGTCTCCTGTGGAGAATGACCCTACGAATGCCAGGGATTTTTTTTTCCTCATTAAGTTTATTGGTACATTTTAGGTATCCAGTACAGTTACATTCATCCTTGGGATCTTGTACCTCCACATGACAGGTCTTGATTCTCATTTTTTCCCCTTACCCCTGCCCTCCCCAGGCATTTTATTCTGTTAAACATTTACAGTGAGCCAGGAAGCAGATTTGGTTATATGAAAATACCCAGAACATTTAGGTGGACCAGGTGCTGTAAAATTTTCCTTGACATTCTGAGCCTTACCCAGTTCACATGCCTTCGTAGCCTGCATTCTTTTACTCTTTGTTGTCCTTCTGTGTATAAATCAAAATGAGTGATGATATAAACTTTGGGCAGTATACCCAGCCGCTTGGTGAGCTGTAAAGAACACGCGATGCGGGGCTGGAGGCCACTCCTGTTAACTCGGGATGTTAGTGCAGTCTTCTAAAGTATGCGTTGGATTTTTTGCGATTTATTTCTCTGGAAGCCTTGAAGCTTTGCAGGTGTGTCACTGATTAAGATGGTAGACTACTGCCCTGGTCAGTTGCAAAAATCAGGCACAGGTGCCCTTCACATCTGTTGTTCCAGCGAACACACCTTTCCCTAACTTGCCCTGCGTCACGTGCCCCCGAAGCCTGGCTCATCGGCTTCGGGCTGCCACAGTGCGGCACCTCACTGGGTGCCAGGATGGCCCAGGCCACACCCAATGCCAATTTGAGGCTCTCCAGCCCCACCCTGGGAGCAGACCCAGGGCTTCGTGCCTGTGAGGCAAGCACTGTGCCGCTGAGCTGTCCCCAGCCCAGGTATTTTTAAAAGCAGACCGCATTCTTAAGAGCAGGTATACAGAAAAGTTGAGAGGAAGGTAGGGAGATTTTCCACACAGCTCCTGGCCCTACACAGGCGCAGCTGGCGCGTTGCCAGCGTCCCCACAGATGGTGTATTTGATACAACTGTGTTAGCTCCCAAAGCCCCAGCGTTTGCAGGGCGCCTCGTACTTAGTGTTGCACGTCTTTTGGGTTTGAACAACTGTATCATGTGTATCTGCCACTTTAGAGTAACGTATCATACCATTTTTCAGTAGGTTTAGTAACCACTGGTTGTTTTTTTTTTTTAATTTCTTAAATTTTTGCCATATTTTAGAGGTGAGGGAAACCCTCACCGCCACTGGGTATCTTCTCTGCAATCTCTGGTTCTTGTGTTGCAATAATATCTTTTGTATTGATCTTTTCTGGTTACATTTTGGTTCTGATATCTTCTGATGTACCGTAAAGCTCCTCTAGGATGGAGGGTTGAGAGATTAAAGGTACAGTGGTCTTCTGCCTGAAGAAACTTCAGTGTGACATTTCGGTCCCTGGGCGTATAAACCGTGAGCGAGTGCTGTATGTCAGGTCTGTCCCCAGACCTGTTTCCCCTGGTCTTTCTGTTAAGCAGTGTGGTCTGCTGTTACCTGGCCGAAGTAAACCGGTCCGATTTCTTACCAGGTGTTGGTGGTTTTCGTCTGCCGGCTGAGAGCTGAGAAAGTATCTGGGTGCTGGATGCAGTGATCGACTCTGGCCAGCCGGGGCAGCCCCGGCGTTGGTGTCACCTGCTTGCTTGTGACATCCGGGAAGGATACCCTGTGGAGTGGCTCTGCTGCTGCACTGAGGGTGTTTGTCGTCTCCCCTGGGCTGTTCGTGTGTTAGGCAGAGGCTGAGACCCAGCACGCGCTTGAAGGAATGAATGGTTGATTGAGAAGCGGAAGTCAGTCGCGGGAGAGAGAGGCGAGCAGTACATGCATAGCGGAGGAGAGGAGCTCCAGGGCTTCAGTCAACTGCTTCGCTCAGTGACTGGCTTGATTCAGGACCTCCCGGACATTGCTCATTCCCGAGACAGAGAGGTCTTTGTTGGTGCAAGAAAGATTAAGCATAGAGATGTGGCCAGCTGGACCTCCGTCGCGAGGGCAGTGAACGGACTCCGGGAGGGGTTTGGTAATCCTGTGTGTCACTCAAAGTACACGGAGTTTTGTTTTTTAATGGCTGAGATTTCAAAAGATAGATCTCCTTTGATATTTTTCTTGCCTGAAAAGGAAGAAAACTCTTCGAAGAAACCCGTGAGTCTCCTGCAAGGTAGAGTGGAACAAGTGATTCTTTTCTAGAGCTGAGCGTATCCGAGTTTGATGTTTTCCTCATTCATTCATGTTCCCCCAACACTCAAACAAGTGTTGGTGGAGCATTTTGAGAAAGAGCCGGCGTTTGTCGGGTGGCCAGGCTCTCAGGTGGGCCAGGCAGATGCAGCCCCTGCCCTCTGAGGGAGGGCCGTGGTATTGTCCAGCATAGGGTGAGGGAACACAGATCGCCGGACGGATGTCTGTGAGCACAGGGTGGGGACTTTGAGGCCAAGCGGGAAGGAAGTCACTTTGAGACTGAGGCCCGAGGCATCTTTTCAGATGAAGAATGCAGAGGCTTGGAAATTTTAACTTATTGACATTCCACGCTCACCAGACGGGAAGTATGGCCTCTTTTTTCTACCCTACAGATCCCAAGCCTTTTTATTCTTTGTTTTGTTTTGCTTTTTTTTGTTTGTTTTTATTTTTTTGAGACAAGGTCTCACTATGTAGTTCAGGCTGGTCTTGAACTCACTGTGTAGCCCAGGCTGGCCATGAACTCACAACCGTCCTGTCTCAGCCTCCCAAGTGCTGGGATTATAGGCTTGCACCACCACTACTGGCTCCAAACCTTTTTATTCTGACTCCATTCAGCAGCCCTAGGATATTGTGAACTACTTCTGTCTGTCCTCTATCCATGCCTGTAATCCCAGCGCTCTAGGAAACTGAGTAAGGAGGATTCCAAGTTTGAGCTCAGCCTGGGCAACATAGCTAGTGAGACCTTGTCTCAAAATAAATAATAAAGGTAAAGGCTGGGAATGTAGCTCAGTATAAAGGACCTGGATTCAAGAGAGAGAGAGGTGGAAGGAGTCTTTTTCAATCATTGTATTAATGTCGATATCTTCCTGAAAAATTTTTTGTGGTGCACACCTAAGAGATTATGTTTCAAAACAAACAAAACATTTTTTTGTTCTGGAGAATAAAATATAGGAGGGGGAGCACAGTTTACAGAGCTAGCTACTGGCTATTTATGCATGTATTTATTTATTTAGATACTGGATCTTGAATGCAAGGCCTTCACACAGAGCTACATCTTCAGTCCTTTTTGTATTTTTTATTCTGAGACAGAATCTCATTAAATTGTTAAGTTGCCTGTGCTGGCTTTAACTTGTGATCCTCCTGCCTCAGCCTCCTAGAGTGTGAGCATTCATGCACTCAGTACCCTGCCCTGGCATTATCCTGTCGCATGTAGCCCCATCCACCCTGTTCTAGCAGTATGCATTACTCTAAATTTTGTGTTTAGTGTTCTCTTCTGTTCTCTTTTATAGTATGTCTTAAAAGATCATATCTGCGCTTGTCTTAGGAGACACTATGTATCACCATCTACTAATACAGAACAGGAGAAGGGCCAGGAAACTGTTCATAAATGAATGGTTTGATTGTACCCTTTTAAGCAGGAGAATGTACTGACTTCAAAGTGCTTCAAAGGAAAACAAAAGCCCCCTTTCAGTTTCAAAGAAAACCTTAACCAGATCTGTTAGAAAGACAAGGTTTTTCCAAATCAGCATACTACAAACAAACCCAGCAGTGACCTGCCTGGAATTTCTTCAGCCAGTACCTTTCCAGGATCGCTGCTAGGCTGTGGAAGTGTTTATTTGATCATGACGATGCCACTGCAGTGTGCGTCTGTGCGTTTTGTGGTGTGAGAGTTTGGATTTCCCTCGAGTAAGCTCATGCTGATATGTAGTTGGGATGCATCACTGACTGCTACTTTAATAATTCAGAACATTGAACTAGATCCTGTCAGCAAATGGCCTGTTGAGCAAACCAATCTTGAATTTGCTTTTTTCTTTGCTGTGATGGATGTGGTTTCATGCTCTGTATTTTCTTCTTTTTTCCCCACATCCCCTGATTCTCCATTCAGAGTCAGAGCATGAGGTTCTGGGTATCATTTGACTGTTGCAGAAATGACCCTTGGTCAGATGGTACTGAGGCATCTTGCATTTGAACTCCTCTCCGGTTTTGAGCTTTGGTATCATTCCTCTGCTAACTGGTATCTTTGGTCAACATTGTCCGTTTTAGAAACCATTCTCTAGAGTGAGGATGGGTTGTTTTGGTTTTCCTTGTTTATTTTCCTGCCCTTTCAGCTCTGGCCCAACCCTGCAGGGTTTTCAGCCCCCGTGCGACCTTCCCCAGGCAAGAGCCAGCACAGTCCCATTACCGTGTTGACATTTTTGTGTAAGAGTGTTCGCTCAGAGCGCAGGGCTGGCGAGGTAGGGAGACATCTGTATATCACTTCATCTTTTTACTGCATATCTTTCTAAGTTTTTATTTCTAAGGTGGTTGGTTTTCGTAGACGTCAACAGGAAACCTTGCTTCTTCCAGCTATGAGTTTTCGGGCAAAAGCTTTAATACATTACCCAGCCATTTTTGCCACTCTGTCATAATTGTAAACCCTCACCCCAAGAAGAATCCTTTTAATGTCTTATTCAGATTGGGATTCCAATCTTAGTGCCATGGAATGTAGATTAGAACAATACTTTCTGTATGCTTCAGTGTCCTTTACATTTTTAGCCATGTGAGGGAGCCCCTAAAAACTCCCTTGTATGGGTCTGAAAAGCTGAGCTTTCTGAATCCACAATAATTTTACTATGCGTTTCCATAATACGGTAGTCTTAGTCACTTAAAAAGGTGGTGGGGGTGCTAGACAAGCAAACCATTCCCAATTGTTTAAGAAACCAGTGAATTCATCCCCTGCCAGGCTGCCTGGGATGTGCTCCAAGAGGCAGACGTCTGGTTTCTCTTCATCACGCAGGAGAAGGCGTTGGAAGCCACACAGTGCAGGAGTCCCGAAGATTCTAGATGTGTGTGCGCATGGAACAGTGGGCAGTTTAAGTGAGGTTTCCCACCGCAGCTTCTGCCTGGGGTCTGCTGTGCATCTGACAGCTGACTTCTCCTCCCTCGTCTCTGAGCGCATCACGGTCTCCTCGATCCCCCAGTTATTGTCAGTGGCGTTCTCTGTTCTTAGGTACACCTGTCACCTCAGCCAGCAGAGGACAAGGCCACCTCAGTGGCTGCTGCACTGTGTTTGAGGTGGAGAGGGTAGGGGATGAGGCAGCTCGTGGACCGGACAGTGGGGAGCTGTGGATTGGGGTTGGGGGCTTTTATGCAGTTCCGGGTTGTCCTCAGGATTGAGGATCTAGGATATGCATTTCCACTTGTCCATCAGGCTACCCCTTCCATTTAGGCGTCTGGTTAGAATGCATACCCTTTGAAGTTTAGAGATCTGTTGCCCACTTAAGACTGCTGCTTCCTGGAGGATGGAGGTCACTGGAAGTAAAAGTTCAGGCTCAGCTTACAGGCAAAAGTATAGCTCAGGTCACAGGCTTATTGTATCTTTCCACCACATAGGACCTTTTTTTGGAGTCTCTTGAAAGGGAAAAAGGCACTGTGACCTTGGGTACCTTTGTGTTGTACCAAGCCAGTGAGAAAACACCAAGTACCTGGACACAGATAAAAACTGAAAGAAGTTTATTACGCACGTGTAGACTCCACTCTGTAAGAGAAGTGAAGCCCCATTATAGGATTGTATATAGGTTTTATAGGGTTTACAGCCATGACCTCATTCAGGTAGTTACATTTCATTTATAGATATACAAATCATGGTCACAAGACAGTTAACTTTCAATCCAGATGTAACAGTTCTTTGCTGTTGGGGAGTTTACCTTGAAGATTCGCCTAGCTATCTATCCTAGCCCATAGGAAGGGGGTGTTCAGGGTCAGGAAAGCAAATGTTAAGAATGGTTCTTTCATTTAGACACTTTTACAATCAGGTGGCCCCAGTCTCATCGGAGCTCAAGACCTTGATGTGCCCGTTATCTCAGGGTAAGGCCAAAGGCTCATTCACCAATTAGTGTCTTCGGTGCCTATTAGATTTGAGCTAAACAAACAAACTGCTGTTAGAGACAGCAGAAGCCATTCTGCATTACAATTTACAAAAGTTCTCTCTATCATTCCTCCCTTCGCTTTTGGGGTATCTCCTTACCCGTTGTTCTGTTCATACCAATTTTCATCATTCCCCATAATTCGCATCTGATGTTGGGCAGCAGTTGCTCTCTGATGTATGAGTTTTGATCTCCATTTTTCCATGCAGGAACCAAACATGAGGACGAGCAATATAACAATAATTGGTCCTTGAGGGAGCTGACCCCAGCTTTCCATCCCGACAAGTTAAGGCCAGAATTGAATGTTGTGTCCTTGGTACCTGTTGTTTGATAAGGGGAGGGGTGCACAGCAGTCTCCGGTCATTAGCCGGCCAGCAAGGAGTCGCTTTAGCTCAGTCAGGTCTCACATTTGTGCTCTGAAGCTGCCCTTCTCCTTAAAAGTATAACTAAAACTACTATTTTCCTGTCTTTCTTCCTATCTTTGGCTCCTCTGCCCAACCTCATTTTGCAGGCAGAACCTTGGTACAGACTTGGGGAGAGATGTGGTCTGGGATGTGGGGAAGTTGTTTTCTGATTGCTTCGGATTTCTCATCGAAACAGCTCTGTCATAAGCTGAGGAGCAGTTGGAGGAGGTGGAGATTTGAGGCTGAGGAGATGGTAGGACAGCCCTCTATGAGGATGGCTGCTGGGAAGCACCGAGCATCTCCTTGAGGCCCTGGAGTGTAGCTCAGTGGTGAAGTGTGTGCTTTGCACACCCGAGGCTGGCGTTGATCCGCATCCACACTTGCACACACGCACAACACACACTTCCGTGAGGTCAGTAGCCGTGACTATAAGTGAGCCAGCCGGTAGGGTTGTGGGCATCTTAAGAGCTCGCCAGGTGAGTGCAGGAGGGGAGAGGCAGGGGGCTGGCGACCACAAAAGGGCGAGTGTGCAGTGACCAGTGGCCGTGGTGTCCCTCAGTAGGGCACAGGGACACTTGCAGGATGGGCTGTACAAAGACTGCTGGTCCTGATGGAGGAGTAAAATCAGGGACTGGAGGGCCCCGGGAAGCTGGGAGGCGAGTGAGCCAGCCCGAGGCTGTGGTGAGGCCGCGGGTGCTGATTCAGCGTCTGGGGCAGCTCTGCTGGGCACACCTGGAGGCACAGCTGCCCCTGGCCCGCCGGGCGGGGCCGGGACGCTGCTAGATGCTGCTAGATGCCCTGCAGTGCCAGAACACGCAGTTCCCAGCAGATGGGGTTTTCGGGCGCGTCCCTAATGCGTGCGCAGTGCCTGAGGGAGGAGCCTGGTCTAGGAATGACGTGGGAACGAGGGTCGGGTCGGGGTAAACAAGGAACCGGGGACTACAGGAATCCTCAAGACTCACAACCAGAAGGGGAGACAGCCTCGAATAGGGGAAGTTAGTTAATTTGCTGTGAATAGAGTCACTTTCTTTTTCCGGAACCGACTGTCTTGTGCTGGAGTTCGCACTCCTGAATTAGAGTTCATAATCCAAGAGCTACACTTCGAAGTAGTGATAGAATATTTAAAGGTAGAAGCCATTTATTTATTAACTAGCTTTGGTGTGACTAAATCAAATCCATCCTAAATAGATCGCCTAAAACCCATTTAGGGACTTAGTTATTTTGCTCAGAATTCTTCACTGTAAACTTGAACATTTGGCATAGTTCTAAAAAAATTTTTTCCCTTTGTAGTCCTGGGAATTGGACCCAGGCCCTTCACACTGAGTTACGTTTCAGCCCTTTAAAAACTTTTAGTTCTACAGAGGCAGGGTCTTAGTAAGTGGCCCCTGCTGGGCTCCAGTTTGAGATCTTCCTGCCTCAGTCTCTCAGAGTGCTAGGGTTACAGGCAGGAACCCCCACCCCTGACTTAGTTCTGTTTTCCAATAAACACCTCAAGGCAGCCTCTCTTTGCAGCCAGGCCTTGAGACAGGGATCTGGTTTAGGAAAACCCTTGAAAAACTTACTTGTGGACTTTAGAGACTGCCTTTCCTCCTGGTGCTCACTGCGGTGGAGAAAACCAGTCAGGAGCTCACCACTGACTCAGCAAACCAGCGCGCTTCCTGGAATAAGCTGGTGGTTAACTGGTCTGCCCAGTGCTTTTCCCTTCTTTCTGAACTCTAGTGCCTGAGGGCTGCGTCTCCGCCTTCCCACAATAGCAGGGAACCGCTTTTGTTTGCTCCTGGCCTGAAAGAAGGGTTTGTTTTGAGGTTTGGATCACAAATAATAATCCATTGTTCCTTAGAATAATAATCCACCCTCCTTCAGCAGAAAAAAATCTGCTCGATGCACTGTGGCTGTCAGGCCATTTAGAATAGCCCAAAGTGCCCCTGGTGTCCGGAGAATAAACATTTGGAGGAGAGAGGGAGTGTGCTGGGCTCGCTGTCCCAGAGTCCACTCAGGGCCTCAAGAAGGCAGCTCTGAAAGTGACCTTAGTCCTGGTGACAGTGCCCTTCCTTCGCCTGCTCCTCAGTTACAGTCTAAGAACAATCGGAACACTGCAGATACTTATCCAGATGACTTCGCAAGGTGTATCTTATTTTGAAGATGGGTGTTTTCAAGTTAACAGTTTTAGGCCAAATAAGTTTTCTTTCGCATCTTTATTGAGCGTGAAGTGACTCTTTTGAGTGAAGACCATCTTATTTTTAGCTGCAGTCCACAAGCATTCCTGCAGTTGATTCTCATTGCAGATCTTCCCTCCAAAATTAAAAAGCTATTTGTATACTGCAAGTGGCAGATACTTTAATTATTCTTTAATTACTCTTTCCTGGGCTTCGGCTCACGGAGAAAACTCGACCGATGAAATACGCTTCTGACGGCTGTGGTCCCCCGTCCTTGAGTACAAACCTGCATGTACTGTACAGTGTGGGGCAACCTTGGCCAGAAGATTTCACTCCTCAAGTGTGCTTTGCATTTTCCCGTGAGTCCTTTATAGCAAAAGGATACGTGAGATTATAAGCATGGCCTTAAAAGGAAAGAATATATTTAAATAGTTAAATTACTTTAAAAAAGCAGGTAAGAAAAATTTAACGGGCATCTGCAGAATATCGTCAGTATGAGAACTGTTTAAAGAAATAAAAATGTGCCCTCACGTATTAATGGACCCATCCATCAATCAGGGAAGCGGCCAGAAAGTCTTTTAGTAGGTGAGTGAACGAACTGTGGTGCATCCATGTAATTAGATATTACTCATCAAGGAAAAGAAATGGACCCAGGCACGACCGTTGCTATGGTCAGGGGTGGTGCATGCCTGTCGTTCCAGCATTCCTGGGAGGCTGAGGCAGAAGGATCCCAAATCTGAGCCCAGTCTGAGCAATTTGGCAACTTAGTGAAAAACTGTCTCAGAATAAAAAAGGGCTGGGGGTGTATGTAGCACAGTGCAAAGGCGCTGGGTTCTATCCCCAACACAATAAAGAGACAGAGGAATTGAGATTTCTCACCCCAGAAAGACACAGAAGCAGCTTAAGTGAATATCACGAAGGGAGCGAAGCCAACCTGAAAAGATTGCTAATGTGTGATTCCAGCCCCTAATGCTTCGAAGACAGAAATACACAGTAAGAGGCGGGGGTGCCAGGGGCTCAGGGGGTGGGCAGGCAGCCGTGTGTGATGTGGTAGGTGCTGTTACATCTGTCTGTCAAAGCCGTGGTTTGACAACGCAAAGCGTGCCCCTATTGTAAACTCTGGACTCTGGTCCACGCAGTATTTCCTCCTCGGTTGAGACAAACGGTACCACACTATCGCCAGGTGTGAAAAGCCGAAACTGGGAGAGGGTCCTGAAGCTCTCTGCTTTCCATTTAATGTTTCTACCGGCCTGAGACTGCTTTTTAAAATGTCTATTAATTTAAGAAGCAGCCAAGCGTGGTGGCGCACGCCTGTAATCCCAGCACTCGGGAGGCCGAGGCAGGAGGATCGCTGTGAGTTCGAGACCAGCCTGGGCTACATAGTGAGTTCCAGGTCAGACAAAAACAAAAAACACACAAATATTAGGTATAGGTCAACTAGGAAAAAATAGCTGTATTCCCCACCCCCAGGGCCTTCACGCTGAGCCTATTTTAAATTTTGACCTTCAGGTTTTTTTGTTTGTTTGTTTGTTTGTTTTTTGGCAGAGTTTGGGATTGAACTCAGGACCTTGCACTTGCCAGACAGGCGTGGCACCACTGAGCTAAATCTCTGGCTACTTTAAAATTTTGAGACAGAGACTTGCTAAGTCACTAAATTGCCCAGGCTGGCCTCAGATTTGGGATCCTTCTGCCTCAGCCTCCAAGAGTGCTGTGATTACAGGTGTGTGTCACCAGGCCCAGCAGAAAAGTATCTTTTTACTAAAAATGCAAAGCAATAGAACCCCTGACTGTCGGTAGTTACCCCTGTGGGGGCTCCTTCGCTGTGGAATTGTACAGTGGAGTAGCAGCGGGTTGCTAAGAGTACCCAGTAGCCGTCCGTGCTGCCTTCCCTGATGAATATGAACGTGGTTCACACTAATTCCTGCTTGCTCACCATCCTTGTCCTTCCCTTCCCTGTGACAGCTGAGGTGTCGGCCTTGGAGGTGTACACACCGAAAGAGATCTTCGTGACCAACGGGACGCAGGGGAAGCTGACATGCACGTTCAGGTCCAGCAGCACGACGAGCAAGCTGACCTCCGTCTCCTGGAGCTTCCAGCCCGAGGGATCGGACGCCACCGTGTCGGTAGGGACGCTCGGCTGCCAGCGGTCCTGCCTTCCTGCCGCTGAGGCCAGCGATCCTGTCTCCATCTTCCCCTCCCAAAGCGGCGCCTTTGTCACCTGTCCCCATCTTCAGGGCTCTCCTCCTGCCTTACGTGCTCCAGGAAGAAATGTCTAGCATCTCTAACATACAGCTGCTTTCCTTTTTCTCACTGTTGCCCAGTTGCTATTCGTCAACTCTACCCCTTTTGTTTCTGTTTTTTTGAGCCGAGATCTTGCCTCTGTAGTTTAGGCTGATTTTGAATTCACTGTGTACCCAGGCTGGCCTCAAACTCACAGCAATCCTCCTGTCTCAGCCTCCCGACTGTCCAATCTCATTTTGAAATGGATCTTTTCCACAGGATAGGTAGCCCTTTATTGACCGTGCCCGTCCTAGTCATGGTTTTTCACCATTCATTTGCTCCCTTCTATTCCTGTTTCTTTTATGTGTTTCTGATTTTCTTATATGTGTGCTCCCATCTCGTTTAAGTATGAGTCTCTTGTGTTAGCAGTGTTTACTGAGAGTTTACCACACACTGGGTATGGAAAGTCTTCAAAAAAGGGCCATAACTCAGTCTTTCTGTCACCCATTACAGTAGTCAGGGTTTGCAAGGGAATGGATTTACTGCAGGACATGTAACTTACAGGATTATTTTTTATATTCACCCAAAAAGTCAAATGCAGAGGAGTTCAAGAGACCTGAAGAATCCAGGTGAGGGCCTGGATCCCGCGGCAACATCCTGCTTGAGTCCAGCCGGAGGCCTAGAACCCAGGGCAGTGTCTCGTGCTCGTCTGTATCGAGATCTGCACTGGGAAGGCCCAAAGGCCAGTGGTGGAAGCTGGAAAGTCAGTGCTGATGAGGTGAGAAGTCTGTGCCACCAGGCCGAGGAATCCGGCCTGGACCCGGAAGTGACGCTCAAGACAAAGGTGAAGACCAGAGCTTCCGGGGAAGAAAACAGCAGCCATCCCTGGTGACAGCGGGGACCCGAGCTCTTCCTCCAACAGGAACAGCCGAGTTCCTATCAGGAAATCCAGCCACGACAAGCTTCTCCGGGAAAATCAACAGCGCGCTGCTTCCCCTCCTGCTGTCCTTTTATGTCATTTGCCAGTGGTCCTCAGGTGTGTCCTCTGCGCCCAGGACCACACCAGCTCAGCTGGGGCCCCACCTGTTAGTGCACCCAGCCAGGCAGTGAGGAGGCAGCTGGGGCACAGACGGCTTCAGGGCAGAGGTGGCTGGAGGGTTGAGAAGGCCAGGCTGGGTGCTTGTTAGCCGTGGATGGGTGATGCTTGTCCATGAGGTGGCGACAGTGAGGCCCCTCACGGGTGTGGAGAGCAGGAGGAAAGTGAGGTACCAGACCCTGCTCGGGATGGTGCGCAGCTTTAGTGGTGTTGCACATTCTACGTTTCTGGTGCTCAACGGGGCAGACTGTCCTCTGTCTCCTTTGGTCCTGCTGTAAAGCTTGAACCCTGGGAACACCGAGCTACCTCCCCAGCATGCATTTATTATTTTCTGTTCTTTTGCGGGACTAGGGCTTTTGACTGAGCTACGTCTCCAGCACTTTTTCATTTTTTCTTATTTTGAGACAGGTTCTTGCTAAGTAGCCCAGGCTGGCCTCCCACTTGTGATCCCCTGCTCCAGTCCCCCGGGTAGCCGGGGTCACCGCCTTTAGGGGCACCTGGCTTGGGATCTCAGCGCCGTGGTGTGAACGCGTCCCCCGGAAGTCTGTGTGGGAACTTAATCCCAAGCTGAAATGTTCATAGTCTTTAGAGACGCTGCACTGGCAGATGAGGGTTGGAGCTGATGAGGTCTTGAGGGCGGCCGCACGGGACACTGCGGGCTTCGCGAGGGGAGGGGGAGCTCGCCAGGCCGTGCCCGTCCTGGTGTGGGAAGCGAAGGCCCTCAGCAGACGCCCAGCGGACTTCCCCGGCCTCCTGAGCTGTCAGCCAAGTAAGCTTCTGTTCTTTAGAAGTTAAAGTCTGCACTGTTAAATTAATGTCAGCTTTAATCCAGATGTGCCCTCGGCTTCCCCCATTTAAGAAACCGGCCGCCGATCAGTGGAACCCGTCCCCTCCCGTCGCTTGGTGCCTGGGTGCCCTCGGCCTGGCTCCTGGAGCGCCCCGCAGGCTCCTCCCTGGGGCTCTTCCGCAACCGCCCACCGCGCACTGACCCTGGGGACGAGTTAAGCTCTTCCCCTCCGCTGTGGGTGTAGAGTTTTGCGTCTCAGCTTCCGAGAGGAAAGGACTGTTTTCCTTCCTTCATGCAGAAAGGGGGCGCTGCTGACGTCGGGCTTGTTGTTCACCCACAGCCATGCTACACAAGTTGGAATCGCTCAGACCGCTCTATCTAGCTCCAGATACCATCTTATTTGCCTTACATGCTATTTCTCCCAAAGATTAAAAGGGTGTGATGAGACTTTTTTTAATCCCCCTAGTAATAGGGATCGAATCCAGTGCCTTCTCACTTAATTACATACTCAGCCCGTCTTTTAATTTTTATTTTGAGGGGAGAGTTTGAAAGAGTCTCACTATGTGATAGTTCTGGCTGGTCTTGAACTCATTATGCAGTCCAGGCTGTCCTCAAATTTGCAGCGATCCTCCTGCCTCAGCCTCCTGAATGCTGGGATTACAGGTGTGCACCACCATGCCTGGCCCCGATGAGAATATTTACTGCCTCTAGGCTTTGAGGATTGTGCAAAGCAGTGCTTCTTCACATTTTTAACCATAACCTTTCAGAAGAAAGCTTTTTGCATATTTTTTTCCTAATCTCTCCACTGTCTCATGAAAATTTAGTACTACTGATAGTGTTTATCTGTGCTTTATATATGAAAAGTAAGATTTTTCTCAAACCTTCCCACCCAGCAGCTTTTATGTTAAGAATTTGCCGTTGGGCTGGGAATTTAGCTCAGTGGTTTCACAGCCTACCTTGCAAGCACAAGGGGCTAAGTTTTTTACCAAAAAAAAAAAAAAAAAAAT